CCCCCCCCCCCCAACCTACCCAACCATCCAAAGCACCCACCTGCATGGTCATGGAAATCCCGTTGGCGTTACGCTTCTCGTATACGACCTCCCCGTCGGGCTTCTTGACCATGCGCCCCTTACGGCCGGTCATCTCCGCCACTACACCAGCGCCCCCCAGCTCGTTGACCAGCTGCTCGTTCAGAACGGACAGGTTAAAGAAAAATGGGGGAATAATCAGAACGTGATTGTAGGTGTGTCGTGGCTGCTCGCTCAGAAACGGACAAATTGAAAAAAAAAAAAAATGGTAGGGAAAACTGAATGTTCATCGCTTTGCCACCAGTTATGGTAAGTGAAAGAAGAGCCCCCACACCTCCGTTTGAATGAATATCTACGAGCAAAGACAACCATCTCTCTTCTATCAGTCCCATTACGGGGATTCCGCGACAGGTGAAAAGAGAGCCTTGCCAAACGAAAAACGACAAACCGCCAACAAACACGACAGCAAAACAAAATACAGTAGGGGGCCCTCTATAGTGCCGGTATGTGTTCAGAGAGCAAAGCGGCACTATACCGGGCACCGGCACTATTCAGAGACAGAAAAGACTTGATATTCCGGTGTGTGCGAGCCGAAAACACCGGCACTATACCGGCAACCGGCACTATATCGGGCCACCCACTGTATCGTCTGGTAGAATGAGGCTTCCAGGTAGTTAGCATTTGTTATACACATCAAGTGCCTTTTCGAATAAGAGTTCTTGTCTATACACAAAAAAAAAACGTCTCGGTGTCTGCTCAGTGCCTTCAAACATATGTGCCGGTCCAACAGACGCAACGCATTCTGTTTAAGCGTTTAAAAAATACATTCATGTCGATTCCAAAGCATGGACAACAAAGATCATTCTCAACCAGCCATGCAGTACCAAAGAAAAACAGCACAAGAAAGCAAAAAAAACTTCCCTGGTGGGGTTTACGTTTACACCCCGACACATGGCCAACAGAAACATTCAAAACCAGCCATGTACATGCACCGAAAAAATATGAAAACGTTTGCCTGGTCTAAGGGGTTTCCAGGAAGTTGCATGGCCTTGGCAGCGGCAACAAGACGGCCTCGACGCTCCACCGCAACGTCGTACCTCTGCTGCTTGATCTGCGACAGGAACGGGGCCGAGAAGCGCATAACCCAAAGACAGCGGGTACAGCACTGTTGTAATGAAGAAAATGAGAATAGGGTGTTCTGTGGGATACGTCCAATCGTTTCTTTTGCGGTCAAGCAAGCCTGTTTGCAAGCTGGAGGACGGATAGGTACATCTTTGAGAAAGTTTTGGCAGGCCACGAGGCAGAATCAGAATACATTCACAACCCTGCTGGTAGCGTTCATTCACCCACCATCCCTTCATTCTGATCACATCTCTCTCTCTCNCCCCCGCTCCCCTCCCCCCTCCCCTTCTCTCACGTCTTGCAGCTTTTTGTCCTTAGCCTCCTTCTCGAGCTTCTTGGCCTCCTTCAAAGCCAGCTTGGCGGCCGCCTTCTCCGCCTTGAGCCTCTCCTTCTACTTGTCAAACGCCACGGGAAACCGGTAGCGGAAGAGAGCGGGACACCTTCAGTTGGTGGCCATTTCCGTGAGCTATTCTGCCCTTCTGGTCACGATTCGCCGTCAAGACGGAGTGCTGCTGTTGTGATGGAAGCATCGCCATTAATCTCACATAGTCCTTCCTTATGCCGTCAAGAGACAACTCCCACACTTGTCGTTGCCGTCACATTGAAAACCGGTTCGCTCCTTGCTCGTACCGCTTACACCCATACTGGTGCAACTTACGCGGACGCCTTCCGTGGCCACACAGACTATTCGGGCGCTCTTGTTGACACCGCGGTTGAAGTACGGGTGTGGGGCGTGTGGCTATCGCACATGAAGTCGTCCACGGCTCTGCGTGTACGAACCGCGTGAACAGTAAATAGTGCATGCCTACGTGAATTTGTGCACACACGCGCGCGTGATAAAAAATTGCGCCTCAACTCTCTCATAGCACTGGAGGGGTGGGGGCGTGCGAAGACAACGGAACAGGTCATCCACTCTGCGCCCAACCGTCTTGCTTATCGCTCGCGAGCTACCAGGACACACATTCATGGCAGCCTGACCAAATCACCACCATCAGCAGGCAGCAGGCAGGCTCCGGTACAACCAAGAAACACCGCAGATCCCAAGCACAGGTACTGTAGTCAATTGGTCACACTCTCCCGCCCAGTAAGCATCTGCAACAACACCAACGACACCAACGACACCAAGCCAACCAACACGGCGACAGCAAACGAGGGCGACAACAACAAAAATCCCGAAGCTTCTGACTGGCACGAGGGGAGGGGAGAGCGAGAGCGAGAGCGAGAGAGAGAGAGAGGAAGAGAGAGAGAGAGAGAGAGAGAGCGAGAGAGAGAGAGAGAGAGAGAGAGTGAGAGTGAGAGAGAGAGAGAGAGAGCGAGAGAGGCCTCCCTTCCGTACCCACCTCAGCACGCGCTGCATCCGCCGCCACCGCCGCTGCCGCCGCCGCCTTCTCCTCCATGTCCGTCTTCTTGTCGTTTTCTCTCTTCTTCTTCCTGCTGGGGGAGGCCTCGCTATTGGCAGCGTGTGTGTGACGGAAAGGGGGGGGGGGGGGGGGGGGGGGGGGGGG